TTTAAAATCCGCTTTTGATAAGCGGCACGTAGTAAATGATGGGCAAAATCAACGCAGTTGACATCTTTCTCGATCAGGTTTAGTTTCTCACGAATGTCCGAATGAATCTTTCATGCTACTCAAAAGTATAAACTACTGACTAACGTGCTGTGTCACAGTTTCTTGAATCTTCTCAGTTTCGCGTCCCCAACGATGCGACATTGCAGAAGATTAACCATATATATTTATATATACCCTCGGGTTAAACAGAGCTGAATGCTACCAGGTGCACCCCCGGCTCATGGATAGGAGGATACCTTCACCGAAAAAGGTTAGCTGAGAACAAGTTTTGGCATACCGCAACACATAAGCAGCCGCGAACAAACAGCGGTGGCACAACCAGTGTGTGATGTTTTTCAGGCTGGTCAACTGGCTCCTGTTTAAAAGCCGCATAAGTCCAATGACAGTATCGTGACAAAGGTCGATGTGACTGGCCCTTTAAAACTAAGGTCATTAACCCCTTCACTTCCGAGACGAGGGATTTCTTCCTGCTACCTTGCAGTTCGCACTTGGTTGTGCAAAGGCTAGAGTTGTGCCCTCAAAATAGAAAAGCTGGGAACGCCTCTCGTAGCAAACTCCCAAGGAACGCCATGATCTTGTCTGGAGCTAACTTATCCTTTCCAAGAAGCAAACCGCAATAAAGTAAGTTTAAAATTCGGAGAATTTGTAGTAATCCGTTTTCGTGTGATAAACATTCTAATGTGATCATTGCGTTGTTCTTTACTCAAGCACTACCTTTCATTGTACTATTCTCTCAACGATCTTTGCAGATGCGAGCAGCTTTATTAATAGTAACTCCAAACTAAACCTATCTATCCTTCTATCGGTCGTTTTCAGAAGAAAACTTCAGAATTGAATCCTCCATCGGATTCGGCATATAGTCTAGATGAAAAAGAGGACATTGATATCATTGGCTCTCCGTCGTCCCCCGGAACACTTAAACTGGAGGCTCTTGATGATGATCTGTTGTCAACTGCACAACCGGCTACCGATACACCTGTTGGTGCTGGAGACGAGCCCAAACAGCCCGGACAAGAACGCCGTCCGCGTAAGAAAAAATAGAGACAACTCACTGCATCCGGATCTGAACGTTCTGTCTGCTGGTTTTGGGTGCCTCAAATTTCGGGTTGTGCTGGTTTTGCTTCCGGTACTCGGCTTCGATCGCTTTCTGTGCACGTGTGTGTGTATAGTTAAATGTCACTTATCACACCCACACTAAGAACATTTACCGTAGTAACTTGGAACAGATCAACACTGTTGCTATTTGACTTCACCGTACCCACCACCCTGTTCCGTGATTTCATTCTCTTCCCCTGGCATTCCCACAGACATTGATCATTGATTAACATGTGATTTTCGCGTGTCCCGCTTTCGAGCAAGCATTTTTTTTAACACGGCTGTGATTTGTTACAGTTGTTTGTGTTGCTTTGGTTGATCGTCTTGTATTTATTATTGTTATTTTTCACCATCTCTACACTGAGTTATCTGGTTCTCTGTTCACACTTTTTCGCACATGATCGGAGTTGATAAGCTGATTGTTTGCGGTCTTCATATGCCTGTGCGCAGTTTGTTTCACTCTACTGATTCAAAACCGATCAGCATTATCAACACTTGAAATCGGAAAGTTGCAGTCTATACAGCCTATGAAGATATTTGAGTTTGCTGGAACTTTTGTCTAACTCCACACAACACGTCCAATGGAAACTTATAAGAATTGAATAGATTGTTATTACCGATGGGTTCATGCTTGATCACAGACACCAAGGCTAGTGCATTATGTATTTGTGTGGTTCTGGTACTGATCAGTGATTATCAATTTCATCTGACAGACTCTCTTGTCCCAATGGGAATCGTTGACGGATGGCACGCGATGATAGTGAAGTTGGAGGTGGATTTTCTTGCTACCCCTGATAGGCACCATTCATTACCACACAACTTCCTTGGTATACAGTCTTGCTATGTCCTCCGCGCTGAAGACTACGCCTCTTCGCTTAGGGCTCATCCCCAGTTTACCGTTAGTCTGTAGGGTTTACGATGTTAGCTTTCAGAATCAGGCTAGTCAGGGTATCAAATCAAACTTTGTTACGGGTATTATTGAACAAACTGTGCATATTACTCATAGCCTCATATTCATAAAGGAATGTTTGAATTAATCGCGTTGGAACAACCGAACGCAAATCTTTTGCTTCTCATCGTGGTCAGCAAAACATTCATTCTTGAGGGTTTTACTTTCTCTTATTTACTCAATCATGTATGTAGTAAAGAAAGTCATTCACAAAGCTACTTAATTTGGGAAAGTTCTAGTTCTCCGTTGTCACCTCTGGATGAGCAAATTATAGCTGTAGAAACCAGAGTGAAGAAAATCCCTCTCCTCGGTTCGAGGTGTGACCACAGTTGTT